CCACAGCAAGCTATTAGCAAATTTTTTGCACCCTATGGGCAAAGCTGAAGGGGCGTGTGTGTGCTAACCATACATACCCAGTGTGGACCTCTGAGCAAAAGAAGTCCACCTAATGTAGGTTAATGAAAAGACGTTGTGTGGACTTGCACACACACCTACATGTACATAGTATTTCCCCGGAAAAAACAGTTTCAGCGTTTTTTGTTGCAAAATGAAACAGATCAATCCAGGAAATCATCACTTGGGTGTAACAACTTACCCGGGTACTTGTTTAGGGTTCCATGTGGATTGAAAGACAAGCATTATGGTGATCCCTAAACAGTACGGGGAACAAAGTTGTGTCTCCGAAATGCAGTTCAGACTTTCCTAACAACAATAATTGTCCCCATAACACGGGAAAGGCCTACCCTGCATGCATACAGGGACTTCTGAGCAAAAGAGCTCTACGTAATGCAAGAAGTGTGAATGTTATGTTGACTAAGCTGCGGCTACACAAGATGGCCCTCTTTCTGGAAATCAGTTTCATAGAGAGTATGGGATTAGGGCTAATTTGAGGAAAACAAGAGTGACATTTAAAGGAAACCAACAGAAATCCAGGTTCAAAGAGTGCCTACCGCGCAAGAAAAATTTGCACTGAGTTTTCTGAAGTACACAAAAACAAATGAATGTCCCCACTAGATTGGTAGTGCAGACTTGCGTCTTTGTGCATATACATAATCACAATTGTAGGGCATTTGCATTGGTCAACTCTTTTGTTTTGAAGCAACGAATGGATGTAACTTCAGTTAATTGACTTTCACATATATTATTTGAGTAGTTTATTTTTTCCATGTGAGCCAGAATCTTCCCTCAATACCAGCCACAAATAAAGTTGTTTTTGATGGCATCTTTAGTTTAAAGACCTTGGCCGCTGAAAGTTTCGTGCAGAAAATAGTTTCAAGTAAAAAACTGTTTTATTTTGGACTTCATTTGTCAACAGGGTCTCCGATGAGATAGTGTCCGAGATTATCAAGGATGTTTCAAGCGAGGTTGGTGACATCATGAGCCAGTGTGTTGATGACCTCTACAGAGCCGAGTTTGACATGACATAACCTTTCTTCCCTGGCCTCTAGGGTTGAAGTTTAGTGTGTGAATGGTCTTCTTGAAAAGTCCTTTAACTGATTCAGTGTGTCCCATGTTGGCCAATAAAGATCAGTGTGATGCTCCTTAACATATTCCTTTTGCAAGTTACAATCATAGAAGTAACACTGTACCATCAAATTTGTTTCTGAATTATTTCTGGACCATGGGAACCAGAATGAGGATTTTTCCCCAATAATGTTTTTCCAACTCCTAAGAGAAAAGACTGTGGTACTATTTCTAAAGTGTTGTTGCTTTCGCTTCTATACAAAAAACATTCTAACATGTATCAAGAGGGTCTACTTGCCGCCCCCTTCCACTCCCCACTGATATCTTCCTGCCTTTGTAAAACAAAAAAGAAATTTACAAACCAATCTGAGTGCTTTGTTTAAAAAAAGGGACTTAGCTACAGCCAGGTTTTTAGTCCATTTTTCAAAGAATTTTTTGGGAGAAGTAGAGGTTGGGTGGAGCATGCTCACTTTTTCAGCAAAATGGGTATTAACCGAAACAGTCCTCAATCCTCTGATTTCAATGTAAGTTTACATTTACCCTTGGGGGTAAGGGTTAAGCTAGAGGCAGTGCAGGGGCATCCCCTCAATTAAATTCTGAAATCTACTTATCTCAGAATGTTCCTGTTCAATCTAGGGAATTCGTCCCTTTCTCGAGACTTTCTGAACTTTTCTTTCTTTTCCCAGAGTTTATTGGATAAAATTCCCAAAGTTGAATTCTTGTTTTAAATAAAGTCCACAGAATCTATTTGGCATCATGTGTTCAGCTCCTCTAATGGGAGACTTTTGAAATGCTCGGTGGCGGGAAACGTGGCTACCTTTTTAGCACTTCTGAGCATGCACTTGTTCTTAGCATGTGTGCATAGTTCTGAGCATGCACGATACCTTGAAAAGGGATCAGGATGTCTGCTGCCACCAGCATCTCAAAGTTCTCCCATTCTGTACAGTCAAACAACATGTTGTAGTTTCTGTGGGTCAAATTCAGTTGTGGTACTGGATTTCGTCTCATCACCTTTGATTCGACCTTTGATTTGATTATTTTTGCATGTAATATGCGATTTGATCAGTTGCTGTATTTGAAGGTTTTTGAAATAAAAAGAAAAAGCTCTGAATTTGTTGCGAAAGGTAGCACCGTGTCACATTGGTTCTTCCACTTCATAGTAGGCCTCTCATTAAGTTCAAAGACTAAACAAACATCGCTTGTTCCTGGTCAAATTGGCCATAATGTTTTCAATCGCCAGCCCACTGTGCGATGGATTCTGATGCGTGTCATGAAGTTTTGCATGATTAAATGTTGCATTCTTTAGAGTACTTATTGTTCACAAAATAGGATTGTTAATGGGAAATTCCTTTCATTAAGCAGGACCATCAACATGTCTGCCTTTCCTTATCAACAGAAATTTCACAGTGACTGTGTATTGTCTCAACACTGCTGGATTGTGCGAGGCGTTGATTCGTTCAGAATATGGGCCCGTAAAACAACCCCGTGGAGGATTTGACGAAACAGTGTTCCTCACATGTTCCGGGAGGAAATAATTATACGATCGGGGGGGGGCTCAACTGTGAAGGAAGAACGGACCAACAGGACAAGAATTTTAGCCTTCTTCGCATATGTTTCAATAAGTACAACAAATGTGGAAGTGAAACTTACATGGACAAAAAGGAAAAATAATGTTCCCTTTCCGCTGACAGCACGATTGACAAAATTTGGTTTTCAGACTTTTTGAGAAACGTCTTTGCGTGGTTATAGCCCCGGTAAGGTGTGGACAATGGAAGAATTATTGCACGAAAGTACGCAACAGTATGTTGGGCATGAATCCTCGCATATATTTCCCTAACTACAACAAATATCAAAATGAAACTTACATCAAAGGAAAGAGGGACATGTACCCTTTCTCAAGCCATGGCAATCATTAATGCGGACGATTTTCAGTCTTCTTAAGCCCAAATATAGGGAGCTTTCTTTGAGTAGGAAGAGGCCAAAAAAATTGTATACACACCCATATCCCACTAAAGTAAATACTTGTTTTTGAACGATAATATCTAAACCGTTCAAAATATGACTTTGTTGCTTTACTCTGTGGACAGAAGACATTATAAGCTTCCGATGTTCGCAAGAAGGCCAAAGGTTTTGATTGAAAGAGTAATTAAGCACGCGGTGTGCAACTCAGAGAGAAGAAAGGGCCGAGGAGTGGTTCATATAGGCAGATTATACTAAACAGGACGCATTGCCAACTGATGCAATTATTTCCCTCGAACGATTATTTCTGAACCAGTAAGAAAATGACTTTCTAGCATTGCTCTGTGTATATAGGACATGATAGGCTTTCCGGTGACTGCAAGAATTAATGCCATATTTTATTGACAAGAAGAGTGTTTAAGCTCATTTTCAGAGTGCCAACTCTGGGAGATAGAAGGGCGGTTGTCTGTTCATAATTATTACAAGTAGATGGTACGAACTAGGACAAGAACAATCACTTCCTTTGTGTGATACTTTATTAACAGTTTGAACTATATCTTCCAAATTTGCTGTACAGATAAAAGGCATTATAAGCTTTCCCATGAGCCCAATATTGCCATATTTTGCCTAGAAATGTTGTAGGCTCATATTTAGCGCGCAAACCCTGCCGGGAGATTAAACGGCCGTTGAGTGTGTTCATATAAGTTGATTGTACAAAACACCACGCATTGCCGACTAGAACAGTTACTTTCTTCATAGGATAATTTCTAGACAGTTTATAATTTGATATTTTTTAACATTACCGTGGATAGAATACATTATAAGCTTTCTGATGACCCAACGAATGCCATTTTTTGTTCAATTAAATAGTGTTATGCTAATATTTAGGGTGCCAACTCTGGTGGAGAAGAGGGCGTTTGAGTGTGTTTACATGAGCCGATTGTACATTTTTAAAGTGTGAAACACTACCAAGAAAAATAATTGGACGATATTATAAGCTTTCCGTTGAACCCAAGATTGCCATATTTTGTTGATCAGAAACTTTGAGAGTCGGTCTAGATTCATAATTAGCATTGCAATCTTCGAAGAGAAAAATGGCTGTGAATTGTGTTCACATAATATAGGGAGCCTCTTAGAGGACGCATTCTCGACTGAAGCAATTTCTTTCTTCGTAAGATAATTTCTAAACCGTTTTAAACATCATTTTCTAACTTTGCTCTGGGATAAAAGACATTATATGCTTTTGATGATCCCAAGATTGCCCATTTTGTTGATTTGAAGAGTGTTATTATGTTTAGGGTCACAGTACTGAGCGCGCCATCTCTGGGCTGTTGAGTTTGCTCACATAGTAAAAAAAAATTCTCGAATGATAATATCTATAACAGTTTGAAGTATGACTTTTCGAGCATTGCTCTATGGAAAAGGGACATAAACCGTTCGAGGAATCCGAGAATACCATACTTTGTTAAATTTAAACACATCTCAATATGCATGTACATGTTATAGGTTAAATGTGTAAAAACATAAAGTGGGTACAAAAAGTGTTCAAACTCTCAACGTTCTTTTTACAACGTAGGTAAGTTCCAAAATCTACATGTAGCCATTTTTTCAAGTGGTATCCCTCTACTTTATTGGGCACTTGAGACCACTTTTTAACAGTAATTTTTATCCATTATGCTCTCAGATGGAAGCCCAAAGGACTGGAGATTGATCCCGGCAAAGATTTACACAATCTCCCAATTTTGGGTGCTAAGCAATCGCCGACTGTGGAGGCGCACTTTTTATCCCAACGACATGAGCAGGAATTATAGCTTGAATTAAAGTGGACTGCATCGTACGTAGGCGTTAAGGAGATATTATAAGCATTAATTAAAGAAGAAAATGCTAATTCATAATTATGAAGTATGAGTCATCATTGTGACTTCGCCATTTTCACAAATTTTCAGCTGTCCTCTTAACGTCTCCGTAGTAACCCCCCCCCCAATCGCGCTCTGACAGGTTTGGTACCTTGTTCCTAATGTTTGATTTACACACTAGGTAATGCACGCCCCAGCCTTTCGATAACTACGTGTACGGAAGGCGCGGGAGATGCAAGATGGCGTCGCTTGTTACAGATGTTCTGCTCGCAAATACGGGTAAAAAGCAATTATTGTGGGGTGAAACTGACTGTTTTGTCCAGTATTGTAATCTTGAAGATATAAAGACCAATTTGGACTGGAAAAATTAGTTTTGGGTTGTTGGGGAATTAATGTCAAAACGAGCAGTAGGCGGGCCGGGTAGGCCCCCCGGAGTACTGCGTACGGTTTAGTGTTAAGTTGTAGTGTAATTACTAGTAAAATAATAGTAGCCTATTGCTAGGCCTGTTTGCTATTCAAATGTAATGTACACTACAGAATTAGTTTCTGGATGTCCGACCATGATACAAGAATGGTCAGTTGGGCCTTCTTTACATGCCATCTTCAGATATCCGGGAACTTTCTGTAGCCTACATACAAGACCTAGGATAGGGAGTCCAGTGAAACGGCACCTCTAAATTGTATATCTGAAAGCATGTAAAAGTGTTTGCTTTTAATCAAAGATTTCTGCCCTTTTTGTGCATCAAATTCTATATTTTAAAAAGCAGTTGTGTTGTAAAACCGAAATTTGTGTTAGTACCATTTATATATGTCTGTTTATGTCAGGTTTTGGGTGTGAAATAGCCTATGATGAAAATAATGTAAGATCGGAGCCAAGTTACTGTACATGTACGTCTACAGCAGTGTGCGGTCATCTTTGTTTGTTGTTGTGTGACAACAACAGTCTCGTCGAAGCCTAATATCTTGCGAGACTCACCCGGGTTCGAACAATGATGTCATCATCTTGTAGAGCTTATAATACTCTTTCATTTGATGTATGACTCGAGGCATTTGACTAAAGTACCTTCAAGCCTTGTTTTGGTTTGTGAAGACTACAAAAAGGTAACCAAAAATGTACATTTTTCTGTTGAAAATCCCCCTAAACATTTATAAGGAGTTGATGAAACATACATGAAACAGTGTTTATTTGGAAGCTTGGAATTATAGGAAGAAAAGGAAGTTGTTTTTTTGTCAAAAATTGATGTTGAACTGGTGCCGAACAGCCCTTTTTGGGTGCTGTTGTGCAACTGTGCACATATGGTGTATGTATGTGCATCAGATTGATGCATGGTGTACGGGTAGCAAGATGCAAATAACAAGCGCATAAACCACACATGTTGTTTCAATCAAATGTTATCAACAGACCCTATCAAACAGAACAGACTTAAGTAACTTATGACACCTGACAGACTTGGTCCTTTTTTTATAGTTATTTATTGATGACAAAATATCACATCAAAACTATGCTTCAGTGATCTTTCACACATCACTAAATATTTCAAGCCCAACTCAACTGACCTGTTACTGTATACATGTACATGTATCCTATGTTTATTATTGATAAAGTTCTCCATAATAAGAGATATTGTTTACTTTACACTTCCTCTGTGACTTAACTACAGATCTTTGTCCAACTCTGGCATGTCTGGAAGTGGAACTGATGAAGGAAAAGACTCTATGTGATTCAAATACATTGATGAAAAGAAAACTTGTGCCCGCCCCAAAAAGTGACAGACTGATTACACCAATTTTAATAACAAAAAATTCATAACTTCACAATACTTGCATCTATTGAGCCAAAGTTTATACCATTCAATTTCTTTTGAAATTATCTTTCCAATGGTACCAAATTTGTGGAGGTCAAATAAAAAAACCTGAAAAGTGCCGGACTCCCTTCATAGGAAGATTATTGAATAGCACGAAGGGTAAATTTTGCCCCGTGGCCATGTGTTAAAAGTTTGTAGCGACATGATGCTGACTCAACTCCCATGGACACCTCCCTGACTTAGGCCTATCCACCTTGAGCAGAAGCCCATTTATGTTGGTTGGGAGTGTTCATTTTGTTGGTAGTGACATGACTGTCATTGCGTGCATTTCACCATGTTCATAGTTGTTCATGAACCAGCAAAGTGCAGTTTGGGAGCCTTCATTGCTCAGAAAATTGTGCTCTCTCTCTCTTGGTCCAACTCAGGACTGGCCTAATGTTAACATTTGCTCAGGGCCAGCATTAACCCTAACAGTCCTCAATCCTTCACCTGTTTGAGGACTGAGGACTGTTAGGGTTAACCATGGTGAGCCCAACAGTCCTGAATCCTCCAATTTTAATATGATTTTACTGTGTTTACAAAGACCCTGCTGAGAAACGGGGTTAGGGTTAACATTAGTGATCAAGTATCACTGTAGAAGGCAGGGAAGTAGACCTTTGGCATTGAGGGTGGATGTAGCTTTCAAGAAATGGGGGAGAGGGAGGAGTCAATAATGTAAAGGCGTACTGAAGGGATTCCTTGAGGAATCTGGTAGCATACTGCAGCCCACTGCCGTTGTCTCACTTATGCGAGCTGTGCAGTTTTCTATGCGTTCGTAGGCCTCATCCAACTTTGATTCTTTGGAAATCATCTGTTTATGATCTTTTTTTTTTGCCGGGGCTGAACGGGGGGTTGCCACCAAATCCCACTGGATCCACTTCTGGGCATTTTTATCATTGCACCAGTAACGAGATAAACAAACAAGACAAAATATACCTCAGTGAAATTTTTGAAGCATATTACCAGACCAAGATTTGTCTGAGTAGCCTAAAATATCTAGGTTTAAAGTCCCCACAAAACTGAATGCACTTGACAATGCCTGTTCATTTCAGTTAGGTATGTTAGGCCTATGCTGGTTCTTTTTGCTTATTACAGCTGGACAAAATAATGTGTAGCTTGACTTGTACTTGGACAAAGAGACTTGTGTTTAGACCAAATGACTTGTGACTTGACTTGCCCTGTGACCAAATGACTTGTGACTTGACTTGCCCTGTGACCAAATGACTTGTGACTTGACTTGGACTTGCATATAATGACTTGACTTGGACTTGCATATTATGACGTGTGACTTGACTTGGACTTGCAAAAAATGACTTGCTGTCACCCCTGGTAATTCCAGAAATTAGGAATCCATTTGTTTGTGTCCCTGTCAGGTCTTACATGTGATTTTGTAAGTTCAGAACCTTTTTCTAATTTCTAAGAGTGAGGGATTCATGCAGATTACCTGCCAAACAAAGAGTAATAGTTTGAAATCAATTCTGGTGATATTTCCATGTCAAATAACAAAGGTCAGATATAACAAGGAGTCAAGGACACAAAAATGTCACACTTTTGGACCCTTAATTTCTGGAATTATCCGACTAATGGAACTACATGTAGTCCTATATCCAATGTGGGGGGGGGTATGTTGTAATTACAGTTTAACTGATTTGTAGTATGATGACTGTTATACCCATGTCTTGTGCTCGTTGCTTAGATCTGTTAGAGAAAGAGGACCTGGGGACACGCATTGGCAAGTTATCAGCCCACATTGATGAGATCAAGGGGGAAATCTATCATGCAGTACATGAGAAATATGCCAACTTCAGACCCACCCGAGACTCCACACAGGAGCTGCACAGCAAAGTGCAGGCACTTACTAGCGAGATGGAAACTCTGAGCAGTAAAATCAAGGTATGCAGCCATGCAGCCAAAAAAGACTGTTGGCTTCCTCTCATTTTCACAGGGTTCCACGTAACAGATTTCCAAGTAATTGCAAAAATACTAGTCACATGCAAGGTTGGACCAGCTTCCGCTTTTTATGCAATGCTAAATCCATTTTTTTTGGGCCAGTTGCTTAGCTTAACAACCAAAATTTGTATGGAGGTACACGTATGTACCATCTGGCCGTAGAAATAATGGCTGCCAAATGGAACTGTACCAACACAGAGGAGCAGTGTTGGCTTAAGGAGTGCAGATTTCTGAAAACATACCCTCATTTTAGTCTTGCTCTACACACTTGTGTAAGTAATACAGGTTACAACAAGTCTTACACTTGGTGATCTCAGTATTTGGCCATTTTGAAATAGTTATATTTTTAGTAGTTTGAGAGGAATCCTTGAATGAAACATTTCAAATTAATTTTTGTCAGATTATTAATAGTATGGATTTTTTTGTTTCATTTGTGTTATGATATTTTGATTGTTTAGGGAGACATCAGTTCTCATCTCAATAGCTCCACCAGTGACCTTCACGACCTGACGAGGCAGTTAGAGAAAACTAACGCCATAATCGAGGTGCTTCAATCACTATGCAAGGTGATAAGAAATGAGTACTTATTATTGTTAACTTTGGAATTTTTATGTAACCCCTTCATGGCATTTCTGACCAATGAGGCTATATTTCGGGGCTTTTGACACAGGATTGTTTGATTAAAATGAATTGACTTTAAGTACTTGTCAAATTTCAGAATGGCAAACTTAGCTTCTACAGTAGGTCTTTTACTTGTGCAAAGTGGTTCATAATGAGATGTGTAAGCTTTAATAATTTGATACAAATTAAATTTGAGAATGAAAAAATTTTAGATACGCAAAGATATAAAATGAAAATAAAATGTAATTAAAAATATTTTAAAAGTTTTTTTTAATCATGATTTTACAGATATGTATTGCATGAAAGAATGGAAATGAAACAGACCCCCAAATTTGCCTTTCCTTTTTCTGTAGAAGAGAAATCCTTTTGGCTTTGTTGGGTTTGGGCCATGGCCCTTGTTGCACCCTCCCTGACCCTCCCTTGCCATTCTGTTCAACATCACTATTCCCAGTGTATACTCTTCGGCATTACATTGCTGTTTATCCTCAAGGAGTATTGATTAACTCAAGTTGAGACTTTGTCGTTGTTCACTCTGTTACTTATGTCCGGCCCTGTGAAGGGACTTGTGAAAGGACTTGTAATGGACTCAAATTCAACACTGGTATCTGCCTGGCTTAAGTTGTTAGGGAAGCTCTTGTGGATACCCGTGGGTGGGTTACTACAGAGCTTCTCTTGAAATGACTCTTAAAAAGTGGACAATCAAAGCCATTCAGAGCATATTGGAATATCAGTCATCAACAGCTTTTCCCACAGACTCACCAAGACTTTGAACCTCCCTTGTACTGGATCCTCAATGGCAAAGTGTAAATCAGGTTCATTTGTCAAATAACTACATTCATTATGATGTAGATCTGTTTATATCTCCTTTGTTTGACAGGTGAATGGTTTGCTGACAGGTTTTCAGAGTTGTATGCAAACAGGGGAGTATGTGCAAGCTGCTGACATCATCAATGCATTGGTAAACTGAAAGGCATACATTTTTTTCGTCATGCTTTTGAAAAACGTTGCTCATCTGAAGGAACAATTCTTGCCCAGCCGTAAAGCCTACATTTGTAACTGAAACTTGAGAATCAGTTATCAACCCACTTCCCTTTGGGAACGTCTCATGTTTTTCTCCCTGTAGAAATTTGATCTGGATGTTCTTATTGAAGATGGTTATTGTGAACTGAAAATCGTCAAGGCTCTTAGGGTGGGTGTACGCTAATCTCTAATTACTCCTTGTAGTCCAAAGTTTTGACTGCACTATACACTGCACAAGCAGTCTACCTCCTCTGATGTCAGTCAGTATGCATGTCTTCATTCTGCAGTTACTTGTCCCCCCCAAAAAAAAATTTGAAGTACTAAGAAAGCTTAATGTTTAAATCCAACAGAATCTTCCTCAAAGGCAAATCCCTTGACAAAGACCTCGCTAGGGTCAAACCCTTCTGGGCCCTCTAACTTTGGAACTTGGTGCACGTATCAGCTAATACACATTTGTGGCAGATACTTTGTGTCACATTTAGGCATACAAAAGCGTTTTGAGACACAGAAAACTCCAAATTTGTCAAGTTCTTGAGAACATGAAACTTTGTTATTAAATTGTTTTCTGCCATGGCTTTGCACACATGCCACATTTTTTGTTCCACATGTAAAGTAAAAAGTCATCAATTCTGGCTTGTCTGAATTTATCCATAAATTTGTACTCGTGCATCTTTTCTTTTTTAACATTTGGAAATATTTTTGTATCACCTTTCTTCTTGCATTCTTCTTAGTCTGAGCTGAGAGTGAACCAGGAGATGCTCTTGCATCGCCTAGGGGAGGCATGGACGGCCATGGTCATCTGGAATGTACCCCACGCCAAAGATCCAGTCACCATGGCGAACGTCAACCAAGTCCAACTCAAACTGAGTAGGTGTTGACAAAATGCGTGTTCTCCTGGCTCCAGTATTGCTAGTTACCGTTGCTTATGGAGAAAAGAATTTTTTGTTAAAGAAATCTTCCTCAAAAAACTGTCCCTTGATTTGTACTTCAAGTAGTTTTTGAGCAGGATTCCTTCAAATTCAGATGACCAAATTTGTCTGCAGAAATTGACCGAAAATGAATTTTTCAGTTCTTTCTCTTTTTCGTAAATCAGTGAAAAAGTATCTCATGATATCCAGATGTCCAACTTACAGACAGCATCTGAGCAACAAATGTGCCCTCTGGCAGGACTAAAAATTGAATGCATTGTGATGAGGGGAAAATATGTTTTTGTTTTTGGTGATCGTTCACTCAGATTACTCATAAACAAAGAATTTTTTTTTTCCTTTCACAAGTTCACAGTGAAAATGCAGAGCTGACTGTCACAGCCATGAACCAGGTTGGAATTCTGAAGAGCAAAATGGAAGTTTTTGGTGAGTTGAGGCTTCTGCGTGGTACTTTCTGTGAAGGGTTGAGCTCAGTAATGTTTTTATAATCACTTGACTTGTATTGAAAGTCTTTATTCAGTGGTCTCTAGTTAAAGGCTGTTCTTGCTTCATTCCCTGAAATGCCTGATATGAGTGCAGATTGGTGCTAATTGGATTGGTTTTTCCACTGGCAGCAAAGAAACTGATTGAGTACATCTTGAAGCCCCTCGTGATGCTGCCAAGTGTAACGCCGGCAATTAATGCAGGCCAAAAGGTACAGTCAGTTCCAAATGCAGTCTTAGTCAACCTTCTCAATCTTTTTTTTTTTTGCATTTTTTTATTAACCAAAAGTTTTGTGAAGGTAGAAACAAACCATAAAGAGGCTTATTTATACCCTCAGAGAGCTCATTTTTTGGATCAAAAATGAAAGGCCCTGACATCAACACTGAGTGAATTTGTTATTTTCAATGGCCAGAGCAATCACATGACCAGGCAACAAAGAGGCATGTCACCCTTGTTATTGGACATCAAGTCACATCGTAGTCGCTACCCCACAGTCCAAACCATAACGAGACAGGAAGTAGTCAACACAGTTGATTGTTTTCTGCTTGTGACTGGGTCGGAGCTGATTTTTACTTCACACTCTCATTTTGCAAGCAGACTTTTTCATCTGCGCAGTATCATGACACTCGTCTTTCACACAAGTTGTTAACATTTGTTCCAGTCACAGTCAACTACCATCGCATTCAAGGTGCTTCCCAGCAGGTCTGAGGTGCAGTCGGATCCCATTGCTGTGTACAGGAGCATACACTCAGTACTCAAGGCACTCAGTGGGCCGCTGCTCGGCCTGAGGACGGAGGGTAAAAACGGAGATGAGAGCACTAAGCTAACGGCCATGCTAGGTATGGACCTGACTTTAACGGAATTTCCGAATCTAGGCTTTTATTCACTTTTGCTTTAGACACTGGCCCATTCTACCTCCAGTTTCTGCCAATGAAATGATGAAATTGTATCTATGCTGGGGAAGATGTCTGAGTATGTTCATTTGGTTATAACGGCGAGTAATTGTAACTAAATGTGGAGATTGACACGGAGCCAAAATTGGAAAGAGTGCCAGGAATTGACAAAATGCCTCAGGGTAGCCAATTGTCATGGAATTGCTGAGTCGAAAACACAAAACCAAGTCAAGTTGTAAGAAACACATTCCCATGTGAATCAGAAGACATGTTATCTCAAGTCAAAAGTCTTTCAAATGAACTTTAAAAAAGGCATTCCATTGTCCTAATACATCCTGTGTATCTACTTGAGTAGATACTAAAAAGAAAAAAATTATGAATTTTGTAAAG